ATCTAATTTGTTATTCTTAAAAGTAAAAAGAAACTCTGCATTTTTTAAATCCTAGCAAAGAGTAGAAATTGAAATTACATAATTTAAATCTATCAATTAATTCTAGAGAAAAGCGTTATAATAATAATTGATGTGATAGTTTAAGAAGGTGAGCACATTCATTAAGTTTAGAGCTTACATAATTTTTAATTTTAGTATAGAAATTATAATGGTGATTAAGGTGCTACCTTTCATAAAAATACAAAAGTTATTTTTATTCTGATGATGCTCACGAAAGCCAATGAAAACTTTCTTTATCCTCTTGCATACTTAATAATGTAAATCCCAGACTTTAAAAAATTAATTAATAGAGATTATTTATTTTAGAAATATCTTAACTCTATTTTAGATATTCCACCAAATATTAAAGTATCTTTCTTTCTTGTTTTTATTCACAACATCAAGATTTCTATCATCTTTAATCACAAAATAATTTTATATATGTATGACTATCAGATTTAAAATGTATTTATACAAGTTCTTCTCATTAGCATCAATTAAAGATTCAATAACAATTTTACTATCCAAACATTCCTATTAAATGAAACTTTTCTCTAAGACAGTTTGATGAAATACTCGATATTCGAGATTTTACATGTGGTTGAAAATTATCAGCTTTAGGTTTGATCAGGCATTTATTGCCTCAGGAAAATTGTATAAAATTGAATTCTAGACACAACAAGAGTGAGGTTAAGTTTCAATTAAATTCAATTAGTTTATGAGAATTTTTAATATTCTTTGTATTTCTTTTGAAGTAAATTCGAAATGTTAAGAGAACAACTTCAAACTCAACACAGCTGATTCAAAATAGGTAGCAAGATGTTGTAAGCATCATCATAGCCTCATTTCCTTTAGAAGATTTTTGATTTTTATCCCATCTGGATTCCTTACAAGATATTTAATAGCTCCTTAATTTATACTTAACTACTTTTATACTCAATCCATAACTTTATTTATTTCTTTTTAACTTCTATCCTGGGTTTTGAATGATAATTATATATTTTACAATCTAATTATTCTCTTTTTGTTGCAGTAAAAATTTTCCAACAAAACTGGGTTTAGTCATGTATTAGATTTTACATTTTTACATGAGTTTGCTTTTCTATTTCTTAGTTGATGTAATCTTTGATATATTATATTGTGAAATAGGATGGGTCAAATTTTTCTATTTGTTGTTTCTCAGTCCACTTCTTGTAGAAATTAGGGTTCATACATGACCTATGAATGAGGAAGTGTTAGAACATTTACTAAGGTGATTTTGAGGATTACACGATGCCCCAGAGACGGCACAGTACATGGGGAAGCTATTTGGCTTCTTCCTTCATGGGCTCCATCCTGTTGGCCACTGTAACCACTCTAAGGCTTTTGATGACAGGGTTACTCCAACTCAAGACTTGGGCACTATTTTGATTTCCTACTGTAATTTTTCTATCAAACGATAATCTTTGCTCCTTCCACATGAATAAAAAAATATGTCACGGCTGATTAATAAAAAATTGATTTTTTCTGATATTTAAATACTATTTACTTCTTGATATTTTAATAAAGAATATTTTATCTTCCTTTTTAGATGAAGAATTTTCAATCTATTTAATAATGTATAATCACTATATTTTTTCTGAATGAAAAAGATTTTTAACTTAAACGAGATGATGTTATAAATATTTATTAACTCAATTCAATTAATCCTTTCTCCCAAAGGTTTGCTAAATTATAAGAATCCTTTCAATAATTGATTCCTTTTTGTTTGACTTACTTGTATATTTGCGATAAAGTTTACAGGTGACACACTATAAAAAGTAATAGAGTTGAGCATAAATCTTGATTATCCTTATTTCTTTGAGATAAGGACGAATTCTTCTAACATATTAATGTACTCCTACTAACTGCTGTATCAAATTTGTATGGATTAAGTATATCCATACAATTTATTCTCTAAACAACTTAACCTCAAAATATAAAAGCGTATGAGCTTATGTAGTTGGTAGTTATTGATCAAGCATTCTCTTCGAATCTGACCATTCCAGTTCTCTAAAATCAGCTTTTAACACTTGTATCTCATTTTTGTTCATATTTCTTAATCGAAATACAACTTAGATCATGCAAATACAGATTCAAAACCTTTTTAATCTTTGTAAAAATCTTTTACATTAAAAAGATCCTTCAGGTATTTTCCCCAATACTGAAAAGTCAACTTCATTATTATTGCTGATGAGATATCTTTGGTAGCATCTAGATAGTAACGATATTTATTAACATTATGTAATTTAACCAATAAAATTAAATATGATGGTGTTTTGGTTTAAAGATAGTTGAATTTTGATATTTATAGAGAAAAACCCAATATTTTCTCATCTCATCCTTTTTCAAAACACTTCTTGTATCATTCTCCTAGCTTGAGACAATCGATTTCTATTATAAGTTTAGGGATGTAGCACCAACCTGAAATGATGGAGGAAAGGTTTTGCTTGGTTTCATTTAGTCATCTAGAGAAGAAATTAAATGAATCTCAATTATACATATTTTCTTGTTTCAGTGTAGATTACAACTATTTTGTTGATCGGTGCCTCTTGCGGTATGTATTAATGAGCTTTCAAGTTTAAGGGTTAGAATTTGATAATATTCATAAATTTAATATAGCCTACTAATTGCATTAAATTGTAGGATCTTCATCAAACTAGAATATTTAAAAAAACAACATTTTTCTTCTCTAAGTTGGAATTTTTCAGTTAGAATTAAGTTATTTCTAAATGATTTATTCTCAACTCTTGTAATCAGAAATAAAAAGGCTATTGATCTAAGAATATGTAATGATCCATTACTACTGTTTCAATTTGAATTTTTGATTAAGACTATTAGGTATTGGGATTATTCGTCTGACTATTTGATAGAGCCTCTCATTTTTTACCTTTATTTATCTTTGCTCAGGTTGCACTTCTTTTGATATTTATTTCAACTTCTTAGGAATTTGAAGTAGACATGAAGTATATCCTTCATCATCAAGAAGTAATAAAGCCAATAAAATAATGTGGTTATAAAAGAATAAGAAACAGATATAATACTCTATTATATGTTCAAAATAATTTGAAAAGTTGAGAGGGTGACGGATTCTTTTGTGATACGAAAATGAATTAAAACCTAAAGAATTTCTTCCTCATATCTCATATGTTAGTTTAAGTGAACATCAATCTAAACCTAATCACTAGATCTAAAAGGTTTTCAAATTCTATTACTGATGAGCCTCACAATTTAAAAAATGCATGTTACCTCGATTAATAAAGGATTTAGTCATTTTGCAAATCGGTTATTGAATGAAGATTATTGAATATTATAATATTACTTTTTTCAGATACTTCTCTTTCCAACCTTTTCAATCAACTTCAGCAAAAAGGGTTTATCTAATAATTTGCTTTATTTTTTGTCAATTTAGATATTCATAGTTATCTTTGAACATAAAAATCTGACAAATGCAATCAATGAATCAGACATAACTCTTCATTCTGAATTTTTTTGTGTTCAATTTTTCTCTGTAATTAATCTAAATTTATTTCTAAAAGATCTCAAATTACTGTAGTTAATATTCTGAGAAACCTAAACTGTTAGAAGGGAAAATGTATTTTGAATTTAACATTTTCACATATTGTTTAATAATAAGAATTTAACTACCCACATTACTCAAAGAGTGCAATTCTTTTCTTTACAGGCTCAAAATAGTAGTTATTTATCTTTATAACTAAAAAAATTATCAACAAAATTAATTGGTCATTATGATAAGTATTTTATTTTTTGAAACGCTCTTCTCAATGCATTCTTGCTAAAAAACCCTAATTTTACATGAAAAATTATGATAAAAGCTTATTAGAAAGTAGCTTACCTCAATTTTTATTTAGAATTGCTTAGAAACCTATAACTGTTAAAAAAAAACTTTTAGAGTCTGTTAAAATCAGGAATATTTATCATCATCCAAACAATTTACTAATATATCATCTCTTTTAGAAGTCTTAAAAGTTATTTTTCGAAATATCATACTTTTTTAAAGCCTTACAATTTTAAAAGATCAATATACCTTTCGGCTCTCTTTCTTCATTCCCTAGTCCAAAGTGGGTTCTCTAGTTTTAGTGATCTTACTAAATAAAAAAGTTGCTTTGGTCTTCTTTCCATTCAAATCTGTATTCGAGTACTGATTAGTATCTCTTCATATCTTATATCATCTTAAATTTAGTTCTCTACCTCACCATCCAATTCTTGAAATTTATTTTCTTCCTATTCAAGCCTTAACACTTTACAATATAGGTCTACTTTATCTCTCTTCTGCGCATAAACCTTATCCAATGTTCTATTTCTTAATTGCTTTAAAATATGTGGCATGGTTCCATATAGAACTTTTATAGATTACTAATTGAATAACCCATCAGATCAAAAACCTCAATTGTTGTTGGAACTTTTTCCAATCCTAAATCCATATTTTCTTTTAATTTAAAACTTTCAGAATAACTTGAATACCTCTCTGTTTACTCTAATTTTAGATGTTATAATGAAGTGTTATTATCTTAACTTTTCATCATCCAATTTTTCATCATTATCTTAGATGCATTCAATGTTATCTCTCCTTGTTTTATTATAATTGGAACATTAATTATTATCCTCTGGTCTCAAATATCAGAGTCTACAGGTTATAATTTCATCTAAGATCGTATGTCTTGTCCATTTCATTTGAGGACATGAGTAGTCCAATTATAATTGAGGTAAATCCAAGAATATAACCAGAATCTGTATTGGTTTAGTTATCAATGCTTGAATTATTATTATCAGTTATTTTGGTTATACAATACCTGCTCCATATTGAGTACATTTAGAGCTTGCTGGGTTCCATGAGTAAAGATATGCTGTCAAAGTGTAGCAATCTCCTTCTTTTAATGTATCAGCTCTAGTAGTGCAGACACCATTGACTGTTGAACAACGTTGTATCTCTTTTAATCCTAAGTGGAGATCATCTTTGCAACTTAGGCTTAAGCAGCATATGTAACACAAAGTTTGATTGTTGAGTTCATATAGTATCTATCATTAGCTTATGTGTAAACATTTGTATCACCTGCTTCTTCCAGTGGTACTTTCAGTCCAAACACAAATACCATCAGTTCTGCAACTTCCTGAAGCAAGCTCCTTTAGTACCGCCTGCAACATTACAAGCTCCTTAAGTTGTGTAACTATTACAAGTTCCTTTACAAAACACTTACCTCCATCTGATGTGCATGTCTTCAATCTGGAAGAGCATGTAGTGAAAGTTAGATCTGGACATTATTCATCTTTGCATTATTTAGCAGTATCATCCCAAACACAAATACCAGTTGATGTTATATCTCCATTAGCATCTTTTTATGGTCAGTCCTTGTTTCTGAAACATTAGTTTTTGGGTATATGTTTAACAAGCAGCCAATGGAATACATCCAGTTGTGCAGCTAATGTTTAATTGCAGTACCCTCTTTTCACACAATTAACTTCATTTGATGTCCAAGTAGAGAGTGCTGCTTTACATAAAGCATCAGCTGATAATTGAAAATCTTCGTATATTTTGGTCTTCCAACTAATAGTTTCGGTAGTGCAACTAGTTAAATAAAGGTCACATACTGATTCTGATCCATAGCTTGGTGAATTTTCACATTTCTTTGTTATATGCACTTTCCTTCAACTGTATCCCAGAAGCATTTTCTTTATGATTTGTCTACTGATCCATCATAGCATTGATTTTATGTCATTCCTTCATAGAAATCGGATATAACAACACAACCATTATCTGTTACATTAACAGTGTCACCAGCTAAATAATCCTTACGTAAAGTTGGANTTTTTCCAATCCTAAATCCATTTTTTCTTTTAATTTAAAACTTTCAGAATAACTTTGAATACCTCTCTGTTTACTCTAATTTTAGATGTTATAATGAAGTGTTATTATCTTAACTTTTCATCATCCAATTTTTCATCATTATCTTAGATGCATTCAATGTTATCTCTCCTTGTTTTATTCTAATTGGAACATTAATTATTATCCTCTGGTCTCAAATATCAGAGTCTACAGGTTATAATTTCATCTAAGATCTTAATCGACCCTTCACGATTCTTTCATAATCTGATTGTTCAATCTGCTAGAATCTATTCTATTTTAATGGGTAGTATTTTAATTAATTTTACGCCCTTGGTTTTTGACATTTTTGGTAGGCTTGGTGAGATTGACTGAAGGACTGGAGAGAGAGTTTATGATGGACATGCTGAGAAACCTGAAAGCCTCTCTCATCAATGGCGAAAGGGAGTATTAGGTTAAGCTCGATTGTCTTTGATATTATGCTTAGATTTATCTAGCCTTTATTTCACAGTAAGAACCTGGGATTTAGAATAGTAGAATCCTCATGCTTTCGCTAGACTGCTTCAGGCACAAAGGTAACTTATACAAATTTCTGAAGTCATAATATTATGATGTCTAATTTCAGCACCTAATTAAAAAATAATTAGACCTTTTTAATAACTAGTGCTGACTCTCTGTTTTTGTATTTTAGATTTTTGATTTAATCAATTGAATTTACATTAATTTACAATCCTTTTTGTAAAAAGTTCTAATTATATTCCTGCATTAGTATTATTCATGAGTTTGATGATAACATGGGTGTTTAGAGTAGTATGTCTTGTCCATTTCATTTGAGGACATGAGTAGTCCAATTATAATTGAGGTAAATCCAAGAATATAACCAGAATCTGTATTGGTTTAGTTATCAATGCTTGAATTATTATTATCAGTTATTTTGGTTATACAATACCTGCTCCATATTGAGTACATTTAGAGCTTGCTGGGTTCCATGAGTAAAGATATGCTGTCAAAGTGTAGCAATCTCCTTCTTTTAATGTATCAGCTCTAGTAGTGCAGACACCATTGACTGTTGAACAACGTTGTATCTCTTTTAATCCTAAGTGGAGATCATCTTTGCAACTTAGGCTTAAGCAGCATATGTAACACAAAGTTTGATTGTTGAGTTCATATAGTATCTATCATTAGCTTATGTGTAAACATTTGTATCACCTGCTTCTTCCAGTGGTACTTTCAGTCCAAACACAAATACCATCAGTTCTGCAACTTCCTGAAGCAAGCTCCTTTAGTACCGCCTGCAACATTACAAGCTCCTTAAGTTGTGTAACTATTACAAGTTCCTTTACAAAACACTTACCTCCATCTGATGTGCATGTCTTCAATCTGGAAGAGCATGTAGTGAAAGTTAGATCTGGACATTATTCATCTTTGCATTATTTAGCAGTATCATCCCAAACACAAATACCAGTTGATGTTATATCTCCATTAGCATCTTTTTATGGTCAGTCCTTGTTTCTGAAACATTAGTTTTTGGGTATATGTTTAACAAGCAGCCAATGGAATACATCCAGTTGTGCAGCTAATGTTTAATTGCAGTACCCTCTTTTCACACAATTAACTTCATTTGATGTCCAAGTAGAGAGTGCTGCTTTACATAAAGCATCAGCTGATAATTGAAAATCTTCGTATATTTTGGTCTTCCAACTAATAGTTTCGGTAGTGCAACTAGTTAANTGAAAGCCTCTCTCATCAATGGCGAAAGGGAGTATTAGGTTAAGCTCGATTGTCTTTGATATTATGCTTAGATTTATCTAGCCTTTATTTCACAGTAAGAACCTGGGATTTAGAATAGTAGAATCCTCATGCTTTCGCTAGACTGCTTCAGGCACAAAGGTAACTTATACAAATTTCTGAAGTCATAATATTATGATGTCTAATTTCAGCACCTAATTAAAAAATAATTAGACCTTTTTAATAACTAGTGCTGACTCTCTGTTTTTGTATTTTAGATTTTTGATTTAATCAATTGAATTTACATTAATTTACAATCCTTTTTGTAAAAAGTTCTAATTATATTCCTGCATTAGTATTATTCATGAGTTTGATGATAACATGGGTGTTTAGAGTAGTATGTCTTGTCCATTTCATTTGAGGACATGAGTAGTCCAATTATAATTGAGGTAAATCCAAGAATATAACCAGAATCTGTATTGGTTTAGTTATCAATGCTTGAATTATTATTATCAGTTATTTTGGTTATACAATACCTGCTCCATATTGAGTACATTTAGAGCTTGCTGGGTTCCATGAGTAAAGATATGCTGTCAAAGTGTAGCAATCTCCTTCTTTTAATGTATCAGCTCTAGTAGTGCAGACACCATTGACTGTTGAACAACGTTGTATCTCTTTTAATCCTAAGTGGAGATCATCTTTGCAACTTAGGCTTAAGCAGCATATGTAACACAAAGTTTGATTGTTGAGTTCATATAGTATCTATCATTAGCTTATGTGTAAACATTTGTATCACCTGCTTCTTCCAGTGGTACTTTCAGTCCAAACACAAATACCATCAGTTCTGCAACTTCCTGAAGCAAGCTCCTTTAGTACCGCCTGCAACATTACAAGCTCCTTAAGTTGTGTAACTATTACAAGTTCCTTTACAAAACACTTACCTCCATCTGATGTGCATGTCTTCAATCTGGAAGAGCATGTAGTGAAAGTTAGATCTGGACATTATTCATCTTTGCATTATTTAGCAGTATCATCCCAAACACAAATACCAGTTGATGTTATATCTCCATTAGCATCTTTTTATGGTCAGTCCTTGTTTCTGAAACATTAGTTTTTGGGTATATGTTTAACAAGCAGCCAATGGAATACATCCAGTTGTGCAGCTAATGTTTAATTGCAGTACCCTCTTTTCACACAATTAACTTCATTTGATGTCCAAGTAGAGAGTGCTGCTTTACATAAAGCATCAGCTGATAATTGAAAATCTTCGTATATTTTGGTCTTCCAACTAATAGTTTCGGTAGTGCAACTAGTTAAATAAAGGTCACATACTGATTCTGATCCATAGCTTGGTGAATTTTCACATTTCTTTGTTATATGCACTTTCCTTCAACTGTATCCCAGAAGCATTTTCTTTATGATTTGTCTACTGATCCATCATAGCATTGATTTTATGTCATTCCTTCATAGAAATCGGATATAACAACACAACCATTATCTGTTACATTAACAGTGTCACCAGCTAAATAATCCTTACGTAAAGTTGGAGTGTTCACAGTTTACTAGGCTGTTAAGCAACTCTTATTGGCATAAGTAATTCCATTCCATCCGCATAAATGTTTGCACGTTTGCATCTTTGTCATCCATATCACTACTAACCTTACATTATCCTTCATGAGTGCATGAACTACATGTTTTATATGCTACACATCCTTAAAGTGTTGGTGTTCCATTGACATCAACAACATTTACTGTACATCCAGCTAGATATCCTCGACATCCATCATGATCATTATAGGATACATTTGGAGCAGTAGCACAAGTAGCTGGAACAGAGTTGTATTCAAAACACAATTCTCCTCTTTTGCATTTTTCTTGCATTATTCTTCATTTATATATGAACTACAAGCAGCAAATAGAATACGCTGAACTGCATATGAAGCACAATTAACTCTGATTTAACATCCTCCTGCTCTAGGAGCATAATTTATTGAAACTGCTTAGCCTCTAGCTAAATCAGTTACAATAGAAACTGCTGAATCACAACTCTTTTAAACACATGTTTCTCCAGAAACTACTCATTCACTTTCGTTTTTTGCATATCCACACTTTGTAGTAGAGTATTCTGTGTAACTATCTTTTATCGTGACTCAAGCAGTCTTGGCTGTATTAACTGAGCAAGTATTTACGAAGCCTGAGCAAGCCTCGTATGTAAATGAAATGTGATTGGCACATGCAGTAGAATCTGCTTTAGCCTTACATCAAGATAAATTATAAATTGCATCCGTATAAGTTATTGGCACTGCTTCTGTTCTAAAGAGCTTTATATAGCAACTGCTGCTAAAAGCTTCGCATCCATCACCAGCATTATTTACAGTATATTAAGTTTCAGCAATGCCTATTCCTGGAATTGTACCACATTCGCCTGCAGCAATTTCTGCTCCATCATTTATTATATAAATTGCACGCCTATGATATTTGAAATATTTCACTCTTTAGCAAGTAAATCTTAAATTAAAATCTTTACTTCTGCCTCTTAGTTAGTTGAACTCAAAAAGTAGGTTTGAGATCTTGAGATCAAAGACTTGATCCTTTTGTTAAAGTATTAAAATTTTGTATTCTCACATAAAAAGAATCAAGTCTAAATAAATCTAATTTATTTAAAGAGTAAATTTAATTAGTTTGGCAGATTTGCTTCAGTAAACCTTGTGAGCTCACAGCAATTTAAATAATTTTCATCATAATAAAATGACCGTGAAACTAATTTTGAATGTCTATAAGTACCAAAAAATGATCTTCATTAATTTTTATGAACAACATCTCACTTTAAATTATCATGGTTTAACAATACCACAAGATCAAAAATATAAAGCAACCTTATTCATCTTTGCTTTCTTTTTCTAGTCTTAAACTTAATGGGTAAAAAATAAATACTGATAAACTAATATAGTACCTTAAGTCATTGTCTAACAAACCAAAACTCATTTGTCAATTTGCAAGCACAAACAAAAATCAATTACTAAAAATAAATGCTAGCAATTTCTTATGCAAACTCAACTAAACTGATCATTTAATTTTCCTTATTCAAAATTTAAATCCTTATAACTTTATTTATTTCTATAGTCTGTTGAAACCCTCACCAGTGATTGTAATTTGGTAAGGTAAATTTGTTTTATGGGCCTTCATAAAATCATGAGGAATTTGAATAACTTTGGTTAAGGAAGAGCGGCAATCATCTAAACTGGTTAACTCTTTCCCTTGTTTTTCAAATGAAAAGTTAGTATTTTATATCATTTTATAAAAAATAATTTGTAGGGTTAAATAATAAGTCCTTTTTTTGAGAATTTCTGGCCCAAAACTTTATTAATCTAAACAAGCATCTTAAACAATACTTGAGATAAATACTCTTCTATATCGCACTTTTTAGAGACTATTAGATGATATTATATATCATTTTTGAAGTTACTTATGTTACTTTTATTCAGAATTAAGCTAGATTTTCGAATAATTTTTGACTCAAAATTAATCTAATAATTGATAAATATCGCACATGTAACCTTATAGTTAAAGCTTAACTTTGGAGTTAACTAATTTTCCAAACTTGTTTTCACCATCTTTGAGGAATTAAAAGAGGTAATTTAGTATGGAAACAATAAAACATTGACTAATTAAAAGTTGTTGAATAAATTGTAGAAGGAATTATAGATACACTAATACGTGAAAGTAAATTTTATTAGCTTAATCTATTGATATTGTTTAAGTATATAATAGAATTATGATTTAGAGCTTCTAATTGGAGTGTTAATTCAAAACGAAAAGCACCCAAAATTGCCTGAGTAAAGAATAATTTTTTAATAGCCTTGAATACCTTGTTCATTCTTAAAGGATTGATGCAATCATCAGTAATTTTCCAATAATCAGGAAGAAACATAAGGTTTCATTATAAGCTGCCTGGCAGAAAAAAATTCATATTATTAACAAAGAGATTATTAAGTTATTTTAATAATGAGATGAAACCGATTAATGGGAAAGTTATGTAAACCAAAGTTAAAAATAGCATATACTTCAAGGAACTTCATCTAACGATGTTCTCTTTGATTATTTATCTAAAAGAGAAGGAATTTCATTCCTACTATTGTAGTCAGTGAAGAGAGAAAGAGAGGAGACCTAACAAGAACTAAGCTTGAAAACTGTAAGCTGTTTAAAATTTTGAGGAAGAGATATAGGTACTTGACGAGTATATCCAAAAAAGAAGTCATTTTTCACTCACTTCCGTCTGTACTTATAGCTTTTCTGGAACTGCTTCAGGATCTAATTATATATTATAGGTCTAGCCTCTTTTCTAAATGAGCAACAGGTGGCTCATTTGCTGATCCTTCCCTCTGTGTAAGAGATTTTTAACTTGTGGAAAGAAATTAATTTTTTCAGAAAATTATCTAGATAATGTGTCATCAATTTTACCGATGACATTATGAGCGCTCCTCTAATTGATTTTTTATATTAGTTCACACAGTGCCAACAATGTTAGATTTCATATGCATTTCATTTTATTTCATAATTATCCGAAAATTGTGTTCAATAAAAATAGATTATTAAATTAAGATGGAACAGCAATTTAGACTTCAACAACTTGAAATCAGAAACTTCATTTATACATCAGTTTGACGTAATCTGATACAAATATTAATCCAAAAAAATGATTCTGAACAACTAGGTCAACTGATTGCTGAAATATTTAGTAATTGGCATTATATGATAAAGAAGTATAAAGAAGATTGGGATCTGAAATTGAAATGAGTGGATGAAAACGGAAAGAGATTTGGTAAAAATTTGAAGATAGTTTTGGAAAGTAAATAAAAAAAGTTAGGATAATTTGAATGCAATATTGTATTTATGCCAATACAATCATATAAATATAATGATTACGGATAATTGATGTGTTTTAGAAGTATTAATTATAATATTTGAACAATTTATTTTATTTAGATTTATATTTTGTATTTTGGAATAATTATTTTTAATTAATTTTTAGATTTTTTTTTGATTCTTAATTACATGGTAATACAACATATATCTAGGTTATACTTAAATCGCAACATAAAGCAAGAGTATAAGATTCAATCATTGAGAGCAAATTTTTTGTTAATACTCTTTTTCTTAATAGTAACAATTATTGCTTTTAATTGATGATAATCTTTGCTTTTATTCTCTAATAGCACAATTGACTCTTCCCCTTTTAAATTTTTTATTTTTAGTATTTAAGTTGATAATAACTAAATTCCAAATGACAACATAAATCTCCCTCCTTTATTCCACCTTCAATTGTAATACAAGTATGCAGTAAAATTGAATAAGTTAATTGCATATAGCAATATCTTATTGATTCTCTTTTGAATCATTTATTGCTGTATAATAAATGATGTTCATAATTAGACAATCTCTTATTTAATTATTTTTTAAACTTTTCTTTTATAGATGAGAAAGTATATAAAACTTGCTAAAATAATACTTTTAATTTACACCTACAAAAATACAATAAATCTATATAATGATTTGATTTTGACAAATATTATTATTTAAGTTCTAGAATCTTACAAGTTAAAGTATGAAAAGTTCGTAAAATTTTGATTTACCAATCTCTTCGAAATCTCTTTTGCAATGAGGAAAGGCCTTATGGGTAGCGAATTATTAAAGAAAAAAAAACTAACTACTATATATAACAAAAACGTTCTAAGCTTTATATTATTTATACATCAAAAGTCTAAACATCTGAATAACTTAATAAATTCCTTTTATTAATGAAATTATAGATGTAATGATGCACAAGATCAATTTAAGAATGATGAATATTAATTACTGCAATTACTGTTCCTATCTACTTCTATTAGATCTTGCTCTTAATATTTTGATCTCTTTCTTTGTGTTCATTATCAATCGAAATTAATGTTTATATTTCTTAGATTGAATTCAATGAATGTATTGAAATGTTTAGAAAAACCAACCTTTCTAACATATGAAAATGATTTACAGAGTTGCTTAAAGTTGTAAAGTTTTACCTTTTTCTCTCAACCAAAACACTCATTTGATCAGTATGTTTATAAAAGATCAATTTGTATATTCTGTAATTTAAGATTGGTCTTTCCATCAATTACTTCTTTTCAATAATAGATTCCATAATATTAAATACTAATGAGATCAGAAAATCTACTAGTATGATAAAATCTTGATGAACTTTGCTGATCTAACACTCATAGAGTAAACTTGAAGGTATTAACTTTATATACCAAATAAAATCAATAGAGAGAAAAGGATTAATTTTAGAATATAATGAATTACTGTGGTATTGAAATGTTGGGCAAATAAATGTTGCAATTTTGTTGGAGAAATAATAATAGGCTCATCATAAAAAAAAATCAAAAGTGATGAGCACTTTTTTAAATACGCTAATGCCACTTTTCTAGTTATATTTGTAATTGATATTAATACAGACAGGTTAAGCATCGTAGTTGCGATTAATCAAGCCTTTTAATTATTCTGAGGCAGAAGAGAAATTCAGTTTCGGATGAAACGCTAAATTGTGAGGAACAAAAAGGGGGATGGATTACTACTAATTTAATTTCCAAGAAAAATTGCTTTTTGCATCCTTTGTAAGATATATTCTTGAAATAGATCTTAATTATTAAAACATATTTGTGCCAAATATCATTATTTATTTTTAATGAATATTCAGAATTAAATTGAACTCAAATTATAAGAACTCACATATTTAACAAATGAGAGGAAATAAATGATAAAATGTTCAACAAAGCATTTAAAAAGAATAATATTAATTGATTTATGGCTGTCACTATTTGTATTTTAGGATTCCAAAGTTAATAAAACTGTAATTTTTAAGAAATTCAATAAATAATGATAAAAAATATAAAAGTAGTATTTCAATAATGTGAAAAGATTGTGAGTATTAAATGTAGAAAGCTCGTTTAATTTTATTTGAAAATTCAAAGTAAATTAATAACTCTCCAAATTTCAGGTAAAATTTAAAATCTGTATAATGATTCCTTATCATAAACGATACTAATAATGACTAATTTTAAAATGAGCTTAATAGAAATAAGATAATTGAAATTAGAGAGTGAATGAATATATATTAGATATAAAATATTAAAAAAATGATTTAGTAAATGAATTTAAAGTTAAAATGTTAACAAGATGACCATTAGGATGAAATAGACACGGTATGTTACAATTAGTTTTGTACAGAATTCAGATTAAATTGTTTTAAATGTATGAAGAAGGCAAGAATTCATCATGATCATTTTGATGATGTTGAAAAAAGCAATACCTTGTTTGGATTCATTGAAAATAAAAATAAAGAATGTGATAATTTGATTGATGATCTGAATACATATCTTGACAATCTAAATCAGTCATTTACATTATTAAAAAGGGGAATCAGATAAAAATATTCATTATTAAAAGAAAGATCTCTATAATTGAACTTATCCTAAATAAATGATTATTTGAATTCATCCGTTAAATTAATGGAATACAAATAATCAATTACAACAATCATTTCTGATTAGACTAACAAATTAATTCATACATTTAATAACTTACATCAATAATTAAAATTATCATCATTTAATTATTATTAGATTGATGATAATTCTATAAAAATATCCAAAGACTTATATGATCAAGGTAAGTATATTAATACAATCCTTAGGTTATCATTTATATTGGAAAGATAAATTTGCTGAGGCAATAAATATATTGGATACTTCAATACAATAAAATCCAGATAACCATTTATCTTTATGGTGTAAAGGTAAAAATGCTAGTGAAATAATAGGTGCGTGTTTAAGATGGTTAAATAAATATGAGGATGCAATCACTTGGCTGGACAAAGCATTAGCTATTGATCCTAAGCATGTTAGNAAAGAAAGATACTTTAATATTTGGTGGAATATCTAAAATAGAGTTAAGATATTTCTAAAATAAATAATCTCTATTAATTAATTTTTTAAAGTCTGGGATTTACATTATTAATTATGCAAGAGGATAAAGAAAGTTTTCATTGGCTTTCGTGAGCATCATCAGAATACAAATAACTTTTGTATTTTTATGAAAGGTAGCACCTTAATCACCATTATAATTTCTATACTAAAATTAAAAATTATGTAAGCTCTAAACTTAATGAATGTGCTCACCTTCTTAAACTATCACATCAATTATTATTATAACGCTTTTCTCTAGAATTAATTGATAGATTTAAATTATGTAATTTCAATTTCTACTCTTTGCTAGGATTTAAAAAATGCAGAGTTTCTTTTTACTTTTAAGAATAACAAATTAGATATGTAATTTTCTGATTCAAAGTTGTAAATTAATTGATTTATTATCGTTATTTAAGAGAAAATTACAGAGAACCTTAATGAGGAATTTAAAGATTCTTTTCGATAATAAAGAAAAGAGTTAAGTTTTATGTATGTATTTATTCATTATTAGAAGTATTATTGATCAATAATTTAAACTTGCAAACTAAAATATAAATGACTAATTTTAAAATGAGCTTAATAGAAATAAGATAATTGAAATTAGAGAGTGAATGAATATATATTAGATATAAAATATTAAAAAAATGATTTAGTAAATGAATTTAAAGTTAAAATGTTAACAAGATGACCATTAGGATGAAATAGACACGGTATGTTACAATTAGTTTTGTACAGAATTCAGATTAAATTGTTTTAAATGTATGAAGAAGGCAAGAATTCATCATGATCATTTTGATGATGTTGAAAAAAGCAATACCTTGTTTGGATTCATTGAAAATAAAAATAAAGAATGTGATAATTTGATTGATGATCTGAATACATATCTTGACAATCTAAATCAGTCATTTACATTATTAAAAAGGGGAATCAGATAAAAATATTCATTATTAAAAGAAAGATCTCTATAATTGAACTTATCCTAAATAAATGATTATTTGAATTCATCCGTTAAATTAATGGAATACAAATAATCAATTACAACAATCATTTCTGATTAGACTAACAAATTAATTCATACATTTAATAACTTACATCAATAATTAAAATTATCATCATTTAATTATTATTAGATTGATGATAATTCTATAAAAATATCCAAAGACTTATATGATCAAGGTAAGTATATTAATACAATCCTTAGGTTATCATTTATATTGGAAAGATAAATTTGCTGAGGCAATAAATATATTGGATACTTCAATACAATAAAATCCAGATAACCATTTATCTTTATGGTGTAAAGGTAAAAATGCTAGTGAAATAATAGGTGCGTGTTTAAGATGGTTAAATAAATATGAGGATGCAATCACTTGGCTGGACAAAGCATTAGCTATTGATCCTAAGCATGTTAGTTCCTTATGTGAGAAAGGTAGATTGAATCATAATAATATTAATAGGTGTGTGTTTAGGATGGTTAAATAAATATGAGGATGCAATCACTTGGGTGGACAAAGCATTAGCTATTGATCCTAAGCATGTTAATTCCTTAAATGAGAAAGGTAGATTGAATCATAATAATATTAATAGGTGCGTGTTTAAGATTGTTAAATAAATATGAGGATGCAATCACTTGGGTGGACAAAGCATTAGCTATTGATCCTAAGCATGTTAATTCCTTATATGAGAAAGGTAGATTGAATCATAATAATATTAATAGGAGATTGTTTAAGATTATTGAAAAAATATCATGAATCTTTATAATTACTAGATTAAGCACTATCCATAAATCCTCAACATACATTTTCTCTCAACTGTAAGGGTATCTTATCATCTTTAATTGTAGGAGATTGTTTAAGAGATTAATAATAATACAAAGAAGCACTAAGTTATTATGAGAAATCATTAAAGATTGATCAAAATAACCAATATTCTAAAAACTAAAAGGGTACTCATAACTTATTAAATTAGAATTCTGCTAAAAGAAATTGAATCAGTGAATATTAAATATTAAATATTAAAAATCGTCATGTTCATTTTTTTTGCTATTTTTTTCATTTAGATTGATAATATTAGAAAACGTTAGTATTATTCAAGTCCACGCTAAATTTCAAGAATTATTTTTATCACTTTATTTTAAGGTTTAGTTCTCAATTTTTATTTAAGATTGTTTTAAGTTATATGGATGGCTTTTCAACTCTTCAATTATCTTATTTATTTTTATAATTATTTGAGTGTAAATTACTATTGATATTATGTGAGAATTATTATATCCTTAAAATATTTGAGTAACATAACACATTTTAAAGAATTTATAAGTTTAATTAGATAATTAATTAAAGTAACTAAAATTACAGAAACTTAATAGAAGTTCAAATAGTATTTACATAT